ATAAAAAGTGTGTGTGGGCAAGGAACACCGTCCCATATATCAATGTTTGGCATGAAGAATCTCTTAATCCAGGAAGCAAAAGTCTACTACACAACTGGGACCTTTTATTGAAAATGTAGGCAAGGACTTGCCTGATGGCACAGTGGTTAAGAATCCACCTGCCAATTCAGGGGACACGGGTTCGAGCTCTGGTCTGGGAAGATTCCATATGCTGTGAAGCAACTAAGCCCGTGCGCCACAAAGACTGAGCCCGAGCTCTAGAGCCCTCGAGCCACAACTATTGAGCCCTTGTGCCACAACTACTGAAGCCCGCGCGCCTGGAGCCCGTGCTCCGGAACAAGAGAAGCCACCGGTATGAGAAGCCCGCACACCGCAACGAAGAGAGTAGACCCCCACTCGCCGCAACTAGAGAAAGCCCGCGTGCAGCAACAAAGACCCAATGCAGCCAAAAACGAATAAATAAATTTATTTAAAAAAATTGTAGGCAAAGTGGTCATCTATCACAATGTTCACCAGGATGGTGCTTGAAGCCAAGCCTAAGGCTGCCAGGAAGCAGTAGTTACACATATTGAACACGGAGGCCCTGGAGTGAGATGCCAGATTAGCCCCTCATCCCAGGAAGAGAAAACCATCAGCCTGGATCAAGAGAAAAACTCATCAAAACACATTTTAGACATGCAGGTATGTAATAGTGCCTCCAGGGGCCAGGGCACATTGGGTGAGGATGCTAATTGCTCTTACATTGTTTCTTCCCTCATGTAACCTTTCACCTAATTAACCTTATTAAGTGTTCACTCTTCAAAGGGGATCTTTTTTCTTTTTCTTGACATGACACACAGGTTGTGGGATCTTAGTTCCCCGGTAAGGGATCGAACCCGTGCCCCGTGCAGTGGAAGTGTGAGTCTTAACCACTGGACGGCCAGGGAATTCGCCAAAGGGGAATCTTTTCATTTCTTTTGAATAAACATTAGTCAGCAGCCCACGATAGTCAACATTTAACCCTGAGTACATCTAAGTATGTGAGACCTCAGTGGAAAAACAATGGTAAGGAAGACCATCTAATAATGTCATTAGTTTCCACCCAAGAGAAACAGTTAGCAGGAGCACTGACTTGCATCATCTCTCCTGCCTCCCATCCCACCCCCCATCACCACCTGAGGGTGAAACAGCAGGGACAGGGGTCAACTGGTATGAGGCCCACTATGGATAACCTGCCCCAACTCTTGACTATTCTGGGAAGGAAAACCCCTTCACTGCCAACTCAGAGAGCACTGCTGCTTCAACAGGACCATGGCTCACTCGCTGAAATTTGAAGATCTGGATTCCAGTGCAGGGTGAGTCCTATCACCCCCAGGGTACCCTCCACAACTGTCTACTTTCACCTCCAAAATATTGATACAAAGATTTCTTTAGCAGCAAATATACCTATGAACACAAGGTCCCCTGTGCTAGGAAAGAAGTACTCTTTGAAAGGGGGCTATATTTACAAGTTTTATTATTTTTTATTCCAAAAATACATATAAATGAAAACCTGCTCTTCAAATGCAGGGAGGCCTTTGCCTATAATGCAGTATTACATTTACATCACAAAACATTCTCATAGGAAAATCAATATGCAGCTCTTTCACACACAATTTTTTAAATATATACGTACACACACACACTCACACACACACACACACACACACACACACACACACACACACTAGATGTAAGCAGTTATGACTTTTCTACTTACACATATTCCTCTGGTGGAAAATTAGGAAACTGGGCTGTTCCCAATTGCCCAGGTAAATACAACCTCTCCGAACATTTTTGTAAAAAGATGAAAACATGTAAACCACACAACACATACACGTTGTTAGAATAAAGCAAGGACCCTGCCACATAAATGACAGTGTGTTTCTCAAAGAAGGAAGAATGGAGATAACCTCTAAATAAAAATGCAAAGTTGAAGATCAAAATTGTTCTGTACATGCTCCATGGAGAAATCAAAGTTCTCTCACAGGAAACAGATCCACGACCCATTTCAGCCTCTCGTGACATGTAATCAGCACCCACTGGTAGTGGCCATGACCTTCCTGTACAGTCATAAGCTTAAGCAGGCTCCACAAAGCATCCGTTTAAGTCCAACAGTCAATAATGAGGTCATGTGGTAAATCTCCCCCACCCCCCTGCCCACCCCCAAACAACGAAGTGCAAAATCAATTTCTGTGACTCAAGAGCTCAACCAGGTCAAAGCTTTGGTATACTCGGGAGGCTGTTTTGGTGATAACCAAAGCTTAGTAAGATTCTCTGTTCAGGGGTCTGCCCCCAAGACAAAAACAAACCCGGTCCACAAAGCTTAACAACAATATAAATAAAGTAACTGTACAAAGAAAGCAAGCCACAATCCCCTTCAACCAGGACTTTATAGTTTCCTGCACAGTAGTTCTGAAAGCACCAACTCAAGCCACGATGCTTCTACTAAAACACGATGTGTTGGTGAGACTGTTCAGGAAACAAATGCCCACAGCATGTGCACGTGGCTGATGTGCCACAGAAGAAAGTTCAACCAAACATAAGTCAGTTTTCTTACACTGAAACGGAAGCTGGTCAGCAACAGAAGAAAGACTTAAGGCAATAAGAGGCGTTACAGAGAGCACGGCGGCGCCCTCTGAGTCAATCCCAAAGCTTTCGCAGAAAGAAAAGGTCTCTCGAGAGTTTGGCTTGTGCTTCAGTCTGCTAGCTGTCAGATACCTCCTCCTCCTCCTCGTCATCCTCGTCTTCTTTCCTGTCCACTTCAGACGTGTCCGAGGACTCGTGGAGCAGAACATACTCTCTGCTGCTGAACCCAAATTTAAGGACATCCTTTTCCTTCAGTTCGTAGTATCTCTGTGGCTCAATTCGCTTGTTGTTCAGGAACGTTCCATTGCCTGAGCCAAGGTCAATGATGTAGGGCTTCACCCTGCGGCCAACTGTCCCATCAGCACGGGTATATTCCACAAGCCTAGCAGAGATAAAGGAGAGAAACCTGTGAGTGAAATCCTGCCTCAGATCATCCAGCTCTTTGCTAACACAGTCTAGATGATGTAAATAACCTGGCTTAGACACAGTTCAAGTTCAAACTCTAGGAAGTCAAGGGAAGGGCATGGCCATGGATTCAGAAATTGGGAGCAAGTAGAAATGGTGAGAACTGGTCACTGGGCGGGGAGGATTCATGGTAGATCAAAGCTTAAAATGCAGAATCTAAGGCCTCTTGCCATGGTTGAGAAATACATTTTTTGCATTTTTTGACACTTTTTGCATTGTTTATAATCAATATAATGCTTCTTTTACCTATATCTCAACATACTTTAGCTTCTGCCCCAATGGGAATAAACCAGTGGATTTGGACTTCAGAGTCAAGGGAACAGATGAGATGATCAAAACTGTTCAAATCAAAGTTGATTTGAGCCAGAGTTCTACTACAGTGATCATTTATTAGGCAAGCCACTTGGCTTTGCTGAGCTTCATATTCTCATCTGTCAAATGGGGTATTAATACCTGTCCTCGCCTCCCCACTGGATTGTTGTGAACATCCAACAATAACAGATGTACTATGGAAACTGTCAAGATACAGATTCAGCTAACATACGCCAGGCACTCTCAGCTTCATTTCCATTTAACCCTCATAACAGCCCTGCGAGGTAGCTAGAAGCTGAGGCCCAGAAGACTGGCTCGCCCCAGGACAGACACCTGGTAAGTGGCAGTGGCAGGATTCAAAATCTGGATTTCTGACACCAAGTTCCAGTCCGTTACACAAGTGTAAGCAATTATTGGTGTAAAGTGATCATTCGTTAGATGAATAATACTCCTTAGATACGAGGGGTATGGGCTTCTTGTGCACACAGGCGCACAGACCTCAGCGATCCTAAGTAACCGAGATGCCGGGCTTCTACCGGCACTTCAGTCTCCCTCTGCAGACGTGCACTCACCGGTACTGAAAGACGGCGTGCTGCTTCGAACAGGAGGGGTGATCGATGGGAATGTCTGCGATGCGGCGGTGTCGGCCCAGGAGGTAAGCGCTCTGTCGGTGGATGTACATCACTGGAAGCACCTCATCATTTTTAAAGGGGTAGAGACGCCACCGTTTTTTGGGGATGCGTGCTTCCGGGGGCTCGCTGTATTTAATGACTACACCCCGAAAGGTGTTGGTGTCCTCAAGAAGTGCCCCAGAAAGTTCAAAGCTTGGCTTCTCTTTAACAGGCACGTCTTTGTCTTTGTTGTTGCTGCCAGGGCCAGGCTGAGGAAGTGAGTCCTGAGACGCGTTACCGCCGGCTTCGTTCTTCTGGCGGTGCTCCCGGCGCCGGGTGTTGTGAAACTCCCGCTCAGCTTCCTGCGCCTGTAGGTTCTGGGCATCTCGATCCCGTCCCTGAGGCTGCCCGCTGCCAGGCCTCTCGTCCGAGCTTCTTCTCTGGTGAGAGTGGCCGCGGTGTCTGTCTCGGTTACTGTTCCTAGCTCGCCTGTGTTCCTGTCCTGAGGGTTCTCGGTGCGGCCGATCCTCCCGGCCTCTCCGGGGATGATCCTCACGTTCCTGAAATTCAAACAGATTCAAGAAAGTAAAGGCAGTGCATAGTCTATGAAGAGAGCTGCAGTCAAAAAGTCATTTGTGCTTTGGACTTTGGCATTCAGAGCAAAATGTCCCACAGAAATAAGGTTACCAGTGGTGGTCATGTCCCCTTGCAAGGCGACCACACAGAACAGGTGCCCTAGGCTGCTGCCCAGCTATAGCGCTAACAGTGCACACCCACGTTCAGAGCCCAAGAAACAAGAACACCTATAGGCAAACTTAGAGGGACCTGCACACAGAATCAGAACTAACAGAGACAGTTAAGTAGTCACATACAAGATAATTACGTAAAAAAAAAAGCTAGCTTTCTCTTATGCCCAAAAGTAAAACGTAATAGTAATTTTAAAAGATCCGATTTCAATACCCAGAATAAAATTAAGAAATATGCAAGACATATAAGAAACATATAGTGCTCACTTCAGCAGCACATATACTAAAATTGGAACGACAGAGATTAGCATGGCCCCTGTGCAAGGATAACATGCAAATTCGTGAAGCATTCCATATTTTTAAATCTGTGGGTTTTCTTCTCCTGTTTTTCTGCCTTGTGTCAATTTTATTATTAGTGTAGCCATAAGAACTCAAGAGGGGTAGCAACAGTACCACGACAGGTTTATCCTGACAAAAATAAACAAGCAGTTAATTTTTAAACATTAAAAAAAAAATAAGAAACCTATAAAAATTTACTACAGTTGACCCTTGAATAATGAGGGGGTTAGGGGCACAGGGGCACCAACACTCCAACTAGTTGTAGTCGGCCCTCTGTATACCTGGTTCCTCTGTATTCAAGGGTCCGAATCCACAGACTCAACCAACAGGGGACATGGAGTACTGCAGTATCTACTATTGAAAAAAATCTGCATATAAGTGGACCAGTGCAATTCAAACCCATGTTGTTCAAGGGTCAACAGTAACATATATTTTTTAAAGATCTGAAAAAAATGAGGAAACACGATGGTTTCTTAAAATAGACTCAGCACTGAAAATCAACACAGGAGATAATAGGCAAAGGATATTAACAAGGAATTATCAGAACAAATAAATATTTAATGAACACACGAAGATAGGCTTACCCTGATTAATCTAATAACTAAAGCATTAGAGTTCAAGAGGGGGGCCCCCGCACACTATGAGCAAGGCTGCCCCTCCTGGAAAGGGGTAGAGAGGAAATCCTGAGCACCAGGACTGAGACCTTGTCTCCACTTCCCCACCAGCCCCACCCCCGCCTCAAGGCCTTCTCCCTACCGTACACAGGGGTCAAGTAGGGGTCTGCTTGCTCAGAGCAGGACCCAGTTTTCCTAGACTTCCAAGCCTCCAGAGACAAGTATCAAGAGGCAGGGAGCCTCAGACACCCAACCCTCCTACCCCAAGACATTCACAAGTTTGCCACCACCATCTGCCTTGAGTTCACCAGAACTCATCTCATTATGCCCTTTATCCCTGATTAAATGAGTCACTGTAAGAAGTCACAGATTCCAGGTCATCACCCCTACCTCCCTTGTACTCTAATCCCCATAAGGCTCTGTACATCAAGGATTCTGTCCCCAAATCTGTCCCCTTCTTCAACTCCTGAAGCTGTTGTTGCACTATGCCCCCTGGAATGGAAAGCTCGGCAAAACTGATCTACATCCTCCACGTTTTCTCGGATCATTCCCATCTCCTTTCGCTCTAACAGAACCCTGGCTCTGCCCTGAGCACACTGCTCCCCTGCAGCTCCTCAAATGGTGGCTGTTTTTCTCCCTCTGACCTCCCCCAACTCCCACCATCTCTGGGTCTGGACATATGGCAGGTGTCATCCTTGCTTCTCACTGGGTCCGGACATATGGCAGGTGTCGTCCTTGCTTCTCACTGCCAATTCCAGAACACGCCCCACCCTTTTCTTTCTCCCTAAAAAACCCAGCTGTGAATCTCACGTAAGACCACTGTCACCCATTACTCTCAGTGCTGCTGTCATTTACTAATCCTGAGTCACTTCCCCTCACTGTGCCAGTTTCACTTCCAGCTCAAGTCATTCTCTCCAGCATTACTCTTGGTCATTTCGATAACGTGCTGGCATCTCTGTTCTTTGCATTTCTCTCCTCCCATTACCTTATTTGTCTCCTCCCTTCTCTTCAGCCACTCACCCCCATGGTTATACACGGACTTTTTCATTTCTAATAACTGCAACCCCTCTATAATTTCCATTTTAAGCAGTCCTCCTTCTGCCCATCTTTCCAGCTCACATTTTACCCAACTCTAACAATCCTTATCCCAATAAGACTCATCCAAGCCTTTGATCCTCTTACTTTTGCACAGTCCCTCGCTCTCTTCCCTTCCTAACTTAAATTCCATGGTCAAGGGCTTCCCTGGTGGCGCAGTGGTTGAGAGTCCGCCTGCCGAAGCAGGGGACACGTGTTCGTGTCCCGGTCCGGGAAGATCCCACATGCCGCGGAGCAGCTGGGCCCGTGAGCCGTGGCCGCTGAGCCTGCGCGTCCGGAGCCTGTGCTCCGCAATGGGAGAGGCCACAACAGGGAGAGGCCCGCGTACCACAAAAAAAAAAAAAAAAAAAAATCCATGGTCAAGCAGTATGATCACTCCCACGTGGAGATATTCAAATCCTCTGCCCCTATGCCATTCTGTTGCACTGTCCTGGCAAAACCACAATCAGCATTAAGCACAGCAAAGTGGCTAGAGAAAAAACACAAACCATTCTGAACGGTCCTACCTTAGAAGCATGACCCCAAGCCTCCTTAATGATGCCCAGCAAACATCCTACATTTTCTTGATCTATTCATTCTCCCAGATGACTGTTTTACCACTTCTCTGTCCTCAAATCTCCTACGTGGTCTTCCCCATCCCTTATTTACTCAGAAGGGATTTTCTACATCCACCCACCCATCAGTATCTGTACCCATATACTCTGTCTTCCCTCCCTGTGACCATAAGGAAACTATCTGTGCTTCTACCTAAAGCCAATTCCTACATCTGGGAGCGTCCCTCTCATCCAGAATATCACTCCAGTGATTCTCATCTCTCTTGTGCATAATCTACTTCCCCGTTCTGCACTGGATCATTCCCATCAGCACAGGCACCTGCTCTTCTCTAGAACTCATTTCCCATGTCAGCTTCCACCCTATTTCTTCACTCCTCTTTGAGTAAAACTCCTCAAAACAGTTTGGTTTTAATCAGTCTCCAATTCTTCTCCCATCTTCTTTTGAACCCTCCAATTAGGCTTCACCCTTACTACTCCACTAAAATTGCTGGTCAAGGTCACCAATGACCTCCATGTTGCTAAATCCAATGAGCAATTCTGTCTTCGTTTCCAAAAAGTGTATACCAGGCAAAATTAGTAGACACTATGGAGAGAATATGACAAATTACAAAACCAGATAACACAAAATAACTAAGATTTCAACATATACTCTCAATTATTGATAAGTAGGATAATATATATTTTTTAATGAACATCTTTGCATAGAATACACACACACACACCCCAAAACATAAAGGAAAAGAAGATAAGGTTAAGTATAACAGAACCTTGAAGTATAAATATCAAACTATTAAAATGGCTACTTCTGGGGAGTGAGGTGATTTTTTTGTTTGTGGGAAGGGGAGCAATTTTGAGGCTAATGAGAAAAGTAACCATACATTACATAAACCATACTCTCACTTTCTATTTTACAGAATTCTGTGTTATGATGAACAAGCAAATGATAAATTTATTTTTTTCTGAGGTTTCCACAATCATGTTCCCCTCCTCCTTTTTTTTTTTAATTGAAGTATAATTGATTTACAATGTTGTGTTAGTTTCAGGCGTATAGCAAAGTGATTCAGTTATACATACACACACACACATATATTCTTTTTCAGATTCTTTTCCATTATAGGTTATTACAAGATATTGAATATAATTCCCTGCACTAGATAACCTTATTTTTTTAATGGTGGCTGAGTGGTGCAGAGGAGAATATCTGTAAGTACAAGTCATGCTTAAGTCAGAGGCTGTGTGCACTCTTACAATCCAGGTGAAAGTCACTGACCTTCAGCTGCCTGTCAAGCGCTCAAACCCTTTTGCTCAAGAGCCACTTCCAAGTTTCTAGCTGATTAATACAATGAAATCAGCTTTTTAAGAGATAATTTGAGGTCAGGAGGGAAGTTAGCATAGAAAAGCAAACTAAGACACTTCAAAATAACAATAATCACAAAACAGTTCCATGCTATAAGCCCCAGGATTCACTGTAAAGTGCTGATTTAGAAACCAGAGGTAAAGAACTGCAAGTTGAAAAAGTCAAACATACATACATATAAATAAATAAATAAATAAATCAGGGAGTAAAATGGTGTTTACTAGGAGATGGGGGGCGAGAGGGTAAGACTGATGGTATTTAAGGGTACAAACTTGTAACGAGTAGTAAATAAGCCATAGAGATCTAATGCACAGTATAATGAATACAGACAATAATACTGCACTATAATGATGTAACGTGGTAAATATTGCTTCAATGGCAATCATATTACAATATATAAATGTATCGAAGTAACACAGCTTTGCACCTTAAATCTACAAAATGTAACATGCCAAAATTATTAAATCAAAAAAGTAGCAAGTTGTACATAAACACACACACACACACACACACACACACACACACACACACACACACA